ACAAAATGTTCCACAAAACACACACATAAAACCTCTCTGCCCAATATGTACACAACAGAAACGCTGTGGGTAGCAGCATTCTGACCCTTATGTCAACACTCAGGACACACAACATTATACCAGCCATACACCTGACAGACAAAAAAGGCTCAGTATCCACCCCAGTGATTCAAGAAAGAGCACAGTATCAATTTCTAGAAGTATCATTGTCTTCTCAGTGCTCTCCGTCCTATTGTTTATGGATTAATATTCACTGGTAATTTTGTACTTTCCATACATATTAAGTTTTTCTATTTAGTCTTCAGATAATTAACATATAATGCAATCAACAAGAGAGAGTTGGGGTGGTTTGGCCTGGATAGTTGTTTTGGCTCTGGGGAGACCTTATTGTGGTCTTTCAATACTTAAAGGGGGCTTGTAAGAAAGATGGGGACAGACTTTTTAGCAGGGCCTGTTGCGATAGGACAAGGGATAATGGTTTTAAACTAAAAGAAGGTAGATTCAGACTAACTATAAGGAAGAAATTTTTTATGATGAAGGTGGTGAAACACCGTCACAGGTTGCCCAGAGAGGTGGCAGATGCCCCATCCCTGGAAACATTCAGGGTCCGGCTGAATGGGGCTCTGAGCAACCTGGTCTAGTGGAAGACGTCCCTGCTCACTGCAGGGGGGTTGGATGAGGTGACCTTTATAGGTCTCTTCCAACCCAAACCATTCTATGATTTTGTGATTCTATGAAATGGACCTCATGTAGAATGCTCTGTCGCAATCTCTCTTTGAACCATGACATAGGCCTCAACTCCTCACCCAACGTGTGCATTACAGGTAAAGGGAGATAATGACCCCACTTTTCAATTCTGCCCCAAAATAAAGAATTAGAAATGTGCTCATATAGTAGCTAGAGCAATATATTTGAAGAAATCTGCAAACTACACTTCAAAGGACTCACCCTTTTGGAAAGACGTAAATGAGAAAAACTGATACCAACAGCGTGTCTCGTATCACCCAGGACACTGCATGTTACTTCCACGCTCTTTCCTGCCCAGAACCCAGGCAGAAAGAAGCCGAGGGTCAGAATACATGGAGAGGACACAAATGCAAAGTGGACAGAAAACACATAAAAAGGTAACCAGGTAACAGTTTAAGCGCTGAATATATCTCTGCTTTAATACTGAAATCCTTTCAGTCTCCCTTCAGTCTGCAGAATTGCTGCGCCCTACTCTGATAGCAGAAATGGGGTGCGGAATAAGAATGCAGCAAATACAACTTTTAATATGCCCCACACGTTTATGAAAAAAATTCATTGGAGGCTTTAGGGAACTGTAAAGTAATTATATCAAGAAGTCCTTTGTTACTATCCCAGAAAATTGAAGATATCTCTATCTCAACAAACTTCTCAAAATATATTAACAGACTGGAAACAAAGAAAATTCTTTGTAAAGAGTAAAAGACTTCCCAGCTTCTAATGACTACATTTTCATCTAGACCTTTCTGAGAGTCCTGACATATTTATTACTAATAATCTTTATTAATAATCTTTATCCTAACTTGAAATGTAGTTCCCTGGAAACTAGCCCTAGCTGAGTCTTTCATACTCTGAGAATAATGTTCCTTCAACAGAGAATTGGTGGGTATTTAACTGATATGAGAAACGCTAAGAGGCCAGTTATGCCTCTACAGCATTTTGACTCGGCA